AGAGGTAGATAGTCAACCTTACCACGCAAAAATCGTCATCGAAAACGAATGCAGACTAGCTATTAAATAAAAATAACAAAACAATGGAAGTGATTCAAAAGCCTGGTATTTGAGGGTATCGTGTGTAGGCTACTGATACCAAAACTCGCCTTCTCGTGCGTAGAGCCATGTGTATATTTGTTAATATTATGAACTTAGATAAAGATACTGTCTGCTATACATACTTTAAAGGTTTCACACATTTGCTGTTGGTTAAAAATGGACAATGACTTTTTGACTGTGTCGTTTGAAAATGGCAAAGTTACCAGATTTGATGGTATAGGGTTAGAAATATTTATATGTGTTCCCTATTGTGTGACTAATATATCCAATTACATTGTGTCGCCACAACGGAATATACATTTTCAAAAAAGTAATTCAAATGCAAAATTAAAATATGTATTTTGCAATTGTATTTTGTATTTGTATGCTAAACTAAATAATTAACATCAGTGTATTCCTACAATATAAATAAATATGCAGAAACCTATAGCAATGCAAATTGATATAGGACTTTACCACCTTTTGTCGCCATACATATACGGGTCCTGCCGAAAATACCCTGAATTTCTCACAGAATTTGTATATTTTAATACAAACGAATTGGCCAGCCTTGGGCCAGTTAATGGCTTAGTCCGCCACTAGGAATACCTCTAGCGACGAATGATTTCACAAAGAGCTCGTGCGAGGATAAGGTAAACGACAAAATAAATTCTTTGTATATCTGTCGCCTATGCAACAACTATATACTACGTTGTATACTCACTAGTACAGGAACGACAAGGAATTTTGAAACAAAACGCACATTATCAAGTTTCAATATTTTATTTACTAAAGAAAAGGAATACATTTTATCCTTTGCTAAAATATTTAGCATATATATTATTAATATTTTAATGAGAAAATGATCATAACATTTGAAACAGCGGAAAGTGAAATATGTAACGTGTATTGCACGAAGTACGATTTCATTACATATTTCACAGATCAGTGTTTAACTATCTATCCGTTTCTAGTTATAAAAAAATTGCACTCTATAAATACGAGCAGCGATTACGGTGTAACATTTCTATCACTGCATTTGCATTATTATTAATATTTTATAAAACCCCTACTTAACGCTATGGAGTGTCTAAAAAGCAAATTAATGCGGTCTTATCAAAGTAAGATTAGTATTAAGAGTTAAAAGTTAGTCTATTTTGATGAGAAGGTAACTTACGCGGTATTGTGTGGTATATCAAGACTTTTTTTGGGAACTAGCAAATTGAAACAGCCACTTTACGACGTTGGAGGTGGCCAGTGTTTAAGCAAAAAACATGAAAGTAAAAAAATATTTTTGGATATGTGAGCGAGTACGTTTTGGATATTTTAATATGAATACAAAATTGATAATAATAATTTCACAATGTTTATTAATTATTCTCGTAAATTGTATTAAATAGCTATTCTAGTGAAATATATGGCAGTAACAGTCTTGTCTCGGTAGCGCATTTCTTTTATAAAGGGATGTTCCAATTTTATTCCTCTAGTTCCTAATGGGCGGTAAGGAGCCGGTACGTTATTGAAGGCACGCTAACGAAACTCACTTGGGTTGGGATTACGGAAATTGACAATGATTTGTCATTAACACTATGTTGCAGGTAACATGGTAACTTTATAGAGGCACTTTCATACGCCGTCTAACTAGATTTCTTCGTGTACCTTCACAACATAAATTTCAAACGAAGTGTGTAGAAATGGCGGCGCCAACATGTAAGAAAAGTATTTTCAATATGCCAAATTACTTATTGAAGTATGAATATCTGATGAATCATATTTATAATTATTGTGCTATTGCCAATTCTGACTAAGCCAAACTTGTTTTAACTTACGCGCAGTCAGAAAATATTTAATAGATATGTGAAAAATTATTGAATTAAGGCTGTATATACTGTTAGTCGGATCTTGTTAAAAGGTCATTAAAACTCGCAACACTATAGTAAATCTGTTACACAAAATTCGACGATGTGTATAAGTTGGACAAGTATCGTGAAGGTTTATATATAATTTAAATGATGTGCTTTTATAATTGCGCGAGATTTTCCTAATCATGGTTGCATGGTGATATTGGAACACCGGTAATAAGTAAATTTTTGAAACTTTGGTACACACACAGCAGAATTGAAACCCATGAAATTATATATTATTTTGGAATAACATAACGTAATCGCGCTTATATCTTAATTCTATTCATAAAACTTGCACATCTTTTTTTAAAGTTTCGTTCTCAATTACATTTACTTTTTATCATAATTTTTTTTTTCATAAAAGTCTTCAATTTCTAACGCTAAGGCTTTGAGTCTTAAAATCAAATTAAGCGGTCTATATAATATGAACTACCGTACGTAAGATACGTTCTAATATAATTCTCAATATTTTATAAATTAATCATTTACGCGTAGTACGTGTTACATCTTCGCATATCGATAATTAAAATTAACTTTTAAGAGTATAAAAAGGTGGTTCAGTAATTTAAACGTAGAAATGGTTATTGTACATTTGATCAATATTATTACCTCCGTTAAATATAAAAAGAAAACAATTCTTAACAATTCACCTTCAAAAACTTTGCGCTTAGTCACTAATGCTTAAGACTTAATTACTTGACGAAAAGTATAAATAACATTACAGAACTCGCTATTTACAAGTACACTAGCTTCCCTTACGTATGTTTGTAAGTGTTCTGTACCTTTGAAATTACAGACTTTGAAAATAGCACGCCTTTTATTTAAATGTGTCACATTTATCTCCTTCGTTAGGGCGATGTGCCCTAATTAATAAAAAAAAAAATAACAAATAATAAAAATCCACTAAAAAGCCAGCTACTTCCATAGTCTGTAGTCATTTCTATCTTGAATAATTCCGCCTTTATATAATAGCATCTACTTATAAAATGATTTAATATAAAATAAACCAATACATGTGCGTTTATTTTTGAAATCATACGAATTGGCAGTTTATAATCAAAAATTTCGTCACTAATTAATAATATAATTATTAATTATACCTAGTAATAAATAATTTACCTTAAACGTCATGGCATCTTTGGTATGCAATATAAAATTAGAAACAAATATGTACGAGTATTTTTGAGAATGCCTTTACGCTATGGCGTTAGATTCTTAATGTTATTCGGTCATTTCTCTATTGGAGTTGCTACTCTAATGGCGTTCTAATGTTCACGCTAACCTCAGTCCGAAAGAAAATATGTCTCATTGTAACATACATTACAATCTTGCCACACACACTTAGGCACTAGGTCATTATTACAAATAGAATTGACATTTTCTTTACACACATTCAATTGTCAACAATGAGCGATGGTGGCTTCAACACTCCATTATTAATAAACTGTTTCAAATATAGCAGACTAGTTATTGAAAAGCGCTATTTTAATAACAAATTTATATTCCCTTCGCGATTATAATATAATAGCAACAGGAACGATATTTAGAAGAGAGTTTCAACATTTGGCCCACTTGTATGGATTGTTCAAAATTTAGAAACGACCTTCGTTTACAACAGGGATGGTTCGTAAGTATTCAGAATGTATGTACATATTTTAATTATTATGATCAACGGATCACAGTATCTTTACAATGGCGCACCAACAATCTAAATTGGCAATGTGGCAACACTGTACCACCTTATGCTCTATAACTATGTATACATAATTGCTAATTCTATAACATTATTGAATAATTATCAAAACGACCTCCTAATAATCTAGATACACCCATAAGAAGCACTTCAATGAATGAATAAGTATCAGAACTTTACATATTATAATTTATACATGGTAAATATAATTCATATTATTTGTGTTTCTAATGTCACTGGTTTCGATCTTAATGTTACACACCGTTGTTTAATGTAACATAACAACTTTAATGACAGCAGACTATAAAGCGTTTCGAAAGCACTTAGATATAATTTAAGCTTTGTGTTTAAATTTAAATATTTTAAAGAATATGAACATTCTACGAAACAAAAGTGAAATGTCACTCAATGATTTTTTTTTCAGGAAAATGACAAAATGTCGTTATTAATTTTTCGAATGGCACTATCTTTAATTTTGCCGTGTAACATTTTTGTTCACCATTCGCTTTTATAGAGAAATTCACTATTAATAAGATGACGTAATGCTACAGATAACAGTGAAAAGCAATTCATGGAAACCATTGCAGATTTTACAAGTTCTATTAATTGATAACGAAAAGATGTTATAGGTTCGAAAAAATTAGAGCTCAAAGAATTTGCAATGACATTCACAATTCCACCAAAACTATTCGTCAACACTTTACCAACAAAACTTATATTTTTACCTAAAATATTAGTAAACTATGTATATTCTAAACAATCTACAAATTTGTTACATTATTCATCATACATACATCCATCGATAATATTGTTTCGTCTTTTAAAAAAAATACATAATTTTTTTCGACACATTTAATCTTTGATCGTCACGATCCGAGACCGATGATAATCACGTACGTATATACTTTTACAATCATGGAAGAAAGTTTCAGACACGATTCAACAACAAACTGTGTCGCAATATAAATCCACATTGTAACATATTTAATTCACGTATAAATTATCACGACATGAAACTCTCGGACTAATTTGGTTATCTTCGATAGGCGCACGGGAACATCAAACTATTTAATTTCAACAGGCAGCCTTGTTGTACGATTCCGTTCGTGATAAACTGGATCAATAAAAAAAAAAAAAAACTGGAAACTTCTCGAGCTACTAAATACGGTTACGAACGGTCATCGTGTGTGAGTTACCGTTCGCAACGAGGTCCGTGTGAGTCCAACAACATTCGGAGTGCCCTTGCGGTGTCCGTGACGTAGTCCGTGTGGCGCGGGGGCGGGTCGCGCTGTTTCGCGGGGCGGGGCGGGGCGGGCGCGCTAGTTGCGGTAGATGTAGGCGCAGGGCTGGGGCGCGGGCGGCGGCGGCGTCGGCGGCCGTTCGCCCGACGGCGACGGCGACGACGACGGCGGCGACGGCGACGAGGACGAGCCGCCGCCGCTGGCCGAGCCCGAGCCCGAGCCGCTGCTGCGCTGCGACACTGCGTGCGAGAGGGGGGGAAGGTCACGTGGCGGCTTATAAGGCGAGACAGACGAGCGCTGCGACACTGCGCGGGAGATTATATGGCGAGCGAGAGGGAGGGAAGGTCACGTGGCGGCTTATAAGGCGAGACAGACGAGCGCTGCGACACTGCGCGGGAGATTATATGGCGAGCGAGAGGGAGGGAAGGTCACGTGGCGGCTTATAAGGCGAGACAGACGAGCGCTGCGACACTGCGCGGGAGATTATATGGCGAGCGAGAGGGAGGGAAGGTCACGTGGCGGCTTATAAGGCGAGACAGACGAGCGCTGCGACACTGCGCGGGAGATTATATGGCGAGCGAGAGGGAGGGAAGGTCACGTGGCGGCGTATAAGGCGAGACAGACGAGCGGTGGAACCGGTGGAACAATGCGTGCGTGAGGGAAGAGAAGTTTCATTCGAGGCATTCGAGTGCTGGAACACTGGGTACGAGAAAGAGGAGATGTTTACATGACAGCTCACGAATCAGATATCAGTAGAGTTCTGCAACACTGCGTGCGAGAAAGAGGGAAGGTTACGTGGCGGCTTATAAGGGGAGGCAGTCCAGCGCTGCGACACTGCGTGTGAGAGGGAGGAGAGACTATATGGTGGCTCGCAAGGCGAGGCAGTCGAGCGCTGGAACACTGAGAGAGAGGAAAGGGTACATACGTAAAACACCTTTTTGGGACACATTTTTACACAACATTCTCTAGTCCCAAACTAAGCAAAGCTTGTACTATGAGTACTAGAAAACTGATAAACATACTTTTCTTTTGTAAATAAATACATAGTATACATATATAAACACCCAGACACTAGAAAAACACTATGTTCATCACACAATATTTTTCCAGTTGTGGGGATCGAACCCACGCCCTCTGGCGCAGGAGGCAGGTACACTACCCACTACGCCATTCGGGTCGTCAAAGCTGTCTTACCATTTTCTTGGGCTATGAGATAGATAAAGCTTTAATTATATTACAAGTGTGATAATTATTTACTGAAAGTTAAATCACCGTACTCGCAGCCAGTACGCCTTTAGCTTATAAGAATAAAATCACTTATGAGTTGTAGGTATTGATTTATGCGGAATACGCTGCAGTTTTGGTGGTTTTAATCGGACCAGTAGAAATTATAATACTCAACTTGTGCTTTTTGTCTTCGGCTTGACCTCTAGTAATCATCTAGTTCTAAAGTTTCTGGACAATTTTTAGAACTGTCTCTCCGTATTGTTTTTTTAAGAGTTTTTAATATCGGTCTTGTATGGAACATTATTTATTACAACAGCCAAAGCTGCTAGCGAATCTCTCGTGTCGCTCCTCAGACGCTTGATAAATAAATCGCTCACCCAACGTATGGTGGTGGTGCGTATTATGCTTATGATGGTGCATTTGGTCGCGCGAGTCCGCCCCGCTTGTTTCTCAGAGGTACACCTTCTTCACTGAGCGCGTGGTCGAGAAGCCGTTGTCGTTGCCGCGCCGGTAGCCGTCGCCCTGCGGTCCGAATACTCCTGCGTTAACTGACATGCCGCAGTCAATATGAGTGCGATGACATGAAAATCAAAATGGCGTGTTAATGGCGCGAAAAGCGTAGCGAGTTTTTTTATGGTTATGTTATAAGAAAATATAATTTATTGTTTTTGAAAAAATTTCTTTAAAAAGCTTCGTTATTTAAAATATGCATGATAAAAACTCGCAACGCTTAATAAATGATATAATTATTATGAAGAAATGAATAATGAGTTGAATGGAAATATGTATAAAGTACATAAGCTTTTTGATGAGATGATTAAATTCTTTTAGAAATAATGCAGTCCAAAAGTTATATTATGGATTGATGGACGGAGTCCAATGTTAGTAAAAATTAAATTGATAATGATTAATTTAACAAAATGAATTGAACATTGATTATCTTAAACATAAAAAAGCATGCGACACAGATGACATGACAAACCCTTTGATTATATATACGTCTAGATTCCTAGTTCGGTCCGTCAACGTAACAAGGTTTCAGATGCGACAAGGACAATGCGTACTTGCAGTAACATTAATCAATTTTCTCCACCATAATAAACAGTTTGGGCTCCGAAAACAAAAAATAAAATATGACGTTCGGTGCAGTGAAAACTTGCAATAATTACTCACAAAAATGGAGCACGGAATCTGTTATGAACGAAAAGGCATCTAGACATGTATATAATCTAAGGACAAACCAATGAATTATTGTAGTTGATTTACCGTAATACTTTTAACTATGACAGTCAGGTCCTGTCAACTGGTATATAGCCTGTAATGCTAAGAGGAGTATCATGCCAAACAAAATATTACTGTAGCAACTATTAATTACCACTCAAAATTAAACAAAATTTATAGGAAAATATTCATCGAGGATACATCTTAAATAATATACATAATATATAACTAAAATATACAAACACACAACTTTCTAATATATATCTCTTCAGGTGTCTGCCTCATCTGTGATAATACAAAGCACCAACACTACAAGGAAATACTTATATTAGAATATCATATATGTATATTTTAAAATATTTTTGTATACTTATATTAATTTTATTTTAAAATTATTTAACAATATTACAATCACATACTGACAAAATACTTTTTTCTACTCGATAGATCGAAAACTGTGCGACTAGTAAGGGTATAGAGTTTGACTAAGAAAAGGCTACGCTGCACCTGTCCAACTCTTCACTCTAAAGCCATGCAAAAGGGGAGAAATAGAGCGCAACTGACATTGACCTGGTGGGAGCGGAGTGTTCCGAAGTTGTCGCGCCGGTAGGCGTCCGGCTGGAACTGGAACAGGGTCTCGTGGTGGGGGTGGTACGGTGGGTGTTTGCGGAGGGTGGCCCTGGGCGATGCGGGCTTCGGCTGCGGCGCTAGCACCGGTTCCGCGTAGGTCACCTCTTCAACTTGCTGGAGCAGTTTTGGCTCTGCCTGAATCCTGAAAGTTGAAAATTAATTGTAGTTTATGTAGATTTGAATTAGAAATGAATGTTAAATTCATCTCTTCTTTAGCGATGGCGATATGTTAGTACTCATTTATTCTTTACTAGCTGTCTCGGCAAACGTTGTTTTGCCATATAAATTATTTATTAAAAAAAGGATTTTCGGAACGCACCCATAAAATGTTTGACAGGTAGGAACAGTTTGTATGGGAAAACAAAATTGTCGCTATTTCGATTTTCCATGCAATTTTTCCATAATTTCTCATCGTTTAAACCTTCCCTGGACTGCCACAAATATTTCAAAACCAAAATTAGCCAAATCGGTCCAGCCGTTCTCGAGTTTTAACGAGACTAACGAACAGCAATCCATTTTTATATATAAAATTACTCGATAACATAGGGTGAACTTATGCCTTTAGTCATTTTCTCGCAGTTATCCTGGGGTGGGGAGATAAATTGCGGTATAAGCAGTAATCACATGGAATTATTTATATTTATTTACAATATGCAATAAATATAGATATGCCCATAAAAATAAATATGTAAGATACTATAAAGATTAACTATAAACTAAGTTGATGATCGAAAAATAATTGAAAAATGGGGCTGTTTCTTTCAAAGTTATCATAACTTTGAAATTATATGCCAATATATACAATGTTTTTAGATATTTTTTTATCAGAAATCTGAATGGCATAGTTCTAAAGATGGATATAAAATCTACTTAAATTTATTTTAAGTTTGTCACAGATATCGTTTGTTTTGGAACTGTGAGATCATGCCACTTAGGCGGTTGATAAAAAATATCGGTGATATTTGCAAATTAATAATGTACATTACATAATTACCAAATTATTGTTATTTCTTTATAAAGGATTATAAATAATGGCTCTATCTCATTTATTTATATTCTCAATTATCATTCCGGGAGTTGGGACATTTTTTTGGAAATTTCGTCCTTTTAAGGATCTCTTTTAGTAAAGTAAAATAACTGCCTATATATGGCCCACTGCCGGATAAAGGCATCCTATAAACAGAAGGTCCTAGGGCATATTCCTACACGCGGCCCCACTGTGGACTGGCAGGCTTCACATATCTTCGAACATTTTTTGATATTATTTCAAAAATATACAGGTTTCCTCACGATGTTTCCTTCACCGCTGAGCACGTGAAAATTCAGTACTTAAAATTAACAATTTCAATGGCCTCGGCACCAGGGATCGAACTTAGGTGCTCAAGTATATTGAATTAATAGCGAGCACCGTCCGGGTGTTTTAATTTTAAATTCCTTATTATAAATAGTTTTTAAATTATGAGTGGAACACTAAATGCATTTTTTTTTCATATGCAAGCAGAAAATACAAGTCTCAAGGCGTCTTTCCGAATCGAATGAGATATCGCTCATATTTTTAGGAGCTTTATTAAGAATTAACAACCACTTGAACTTGTTGACTAAACTGAAAATCAAACCAATATCGATGGATTTCATGTTTTCTAAAGTAATAGTTACGAAGGTAACTAATATACTGCTTGGTTATTTCACGTATTACTTGTTTAGCATTTAGGTACTCCGAATAAATGAACAATATTTTGTGAATGAATGGGATTAATTGTCGTTGAACAATATGAGTTACTTGTTTAGCAAGTAGGTACTCCGAATATATGAACACTACTTTGTGAATGGATGAGATTTTTTTTAATGTGAGAAAGCGACAAACGGCCTGGCGGTTCACCTGATGTTAAGTGATAACCGCCGTCCATGGACATTTGCAACAACCGTAGGGTTGCGGATGCGTTGCCACCTTTTAATAAAGTGGGCCCCGGCTACCTCACTCACCAGACGAAACGAAATGTAACACTTCCATTTCACGCCAGCCTTCCGTGAGGTCGTGGTACTCACCCGGACGGACGTGCTGCCACCGTAAAAAATTAACTATTGTCGTCGAACATAATGAGCCTTAACATAACTTCAAGAAGAGAGCATACTCCTTCCTAAAAGGCCGGCAACGCATTTGTGAGCCCTTTCGTGTTGCAGGTTTCAATGGGCGGCGGTGATCAAAAATGAAAAAAAAAAAGAAAAAAAAAAGCCGTTCTTACCTGTTGATGTTCTGCCTCTGCTCGAAGTATTCGTATTCTGTGTCGGGGTACGGCATGTTGTCGTCCTCGTCCTTCTTGCAGCGTCTGCCGCAGACGTAGCCCGCTGCGAAGCCGGCGCCCAGCGCGGCCAGAGCCCCCGCCGCCACGGCCAAAGCCAGCGTCTCTACTGAGTACGCCGCCGGCGGGGGGTCAGCGGCCAACACTTCTGGTCCTGAAGTAGTTAGAGCTTTATAATCAATGTAATAGGTGAAAATTCCCTTCCGCATATATATCGACACTAAATACTCGAAACTACCCACCCTTGCACCCAAATGCATTTAAGAAGCTCAAATGCATTTGTTTAATTATAAAGGAATGTGTTCTGTGACGGTATATGAGGATAAGAATGACATTATCGACTAAAAAGCCCTATGTGAATACTATCGATCCTTTGTCAATCTTACATATTATATATAAATGGAATGTCGAACGAAACTTACGTCTAACAGTTCGAATAAATCAGTTAGTAGTCATAGCATAACTAATGGCAGATATTCATAATTAGCCGTAAACTAACTAGTTCTCTCCTGACTTCTCAGTGTCAGCAAAGACCGATAGGGCGTAAATTTACCTTCATTGTTGTTATTGCTTCCTTTGCCGTCTTTTTCCTGAACGATGTTTATGACTTCGCCCTTATTTTCACCGCGCGCATCATCATAGAGTCCGGAACTGAGACCGCCAACTGCACCAGCGTCTTTACCTAAAGCAAATAATAAAAAAACTGAGTTTATACAACATAAAACCCTAGTAACACGTCACTAGCTTACGTTCGGCCGGTTCATATAGGAAGCTTCATGGCATCACCGAAGACCGCCGAGGACCATTACACTAAGTTATGGTAATAATGAAATATAATAAATAATACAGTAAAATAAATATTACGGTACATATTTTTACATAACGTTATCTAGTCCCAAACGAAGCATAGATTGTACTATGGACACTAGGTAACTGATAAACATACTTAAACGTACTTTTCTTTTATAAATAACGACATATTATAAATATATTCACACCCAGACACTAGAAAAACACTATTTTATCACACAATATTTTTCCAGTAATTGGGATCGAACTCACACCCTCTGGCGCAAGAGACAGGGTCATTATCCACTACGCCATTCGGGTCGTTTTATACTAAACTCTCTATTTAAAAACGCCGCTAGCGTCGCTTCTGCAGTAGTATTGATATTTTGCGTTTCGCTCGCTGTGCTAGGTATCAGAAGGCCTACTTTAAGAATAGCCAACACACTGTTGTGTGTGTCCATGGGTGACGATGATCTTGCCACATAGCGTCTATTTCGCAACATCTCTTCTATAGCAGTGTGTGTCCCTGGGTGACGATGACCTTGCCACATAGCGTCTATTTCGCAACATCTCTTCTATAGCAGTGTGTGTCCCTGGGTGACGATGACCTTGCCACATAGCGTCTATTTCGCAACATCTCTTCTATAGCAGTGTGTGTCCCTGGGTGACGATGACCTTGCCACATAGCGTCTATTTCGCAACATCTCTTCTATAGCAGTGTGTGTCCCTGGGTGACGATGACCTTACTACATAGCATCTATTTCGCAACATCTTTTCTATAGCAGTGTGTTTCCCCGGGTGACGATGACCTTACCACATAGCGTCTATTTCGCAACATCTCTTCTATAGCAGTGTGTGTCCCTGGGTGACGATGACCTTGCCACATAGCGTCTATTTCGCAACATCTCTTCTATAGCAGTGTGTGTCCCTGGGTGACGATGACCTTGCCACATAGCGTCTATTTCGCAACATCTCTTCTATAGCAGTGTGTGTCCCTGGGTGACGATGACCTTGCCACATAGCGTCTATTTCGCAACATCTTTTCTATAGCAGTGTGTTTCCCCGGGTGACGATGACCTTACCACATAGCGTCTATTTCGCAACATCTCTTCTATAGCAGTGTGTGTCCCTGGGTGACGATGACCTTGCCACATAGCGTCTATTTCGCAACATCTCTTCTATAGCAGTGTGTGTCCCTGGGTGACGATGACCTTACTACATAGCATCTATTTCGCAACATCTCTTCTATAGCAGTGTGTGTCCCTGGGTGACGATGACCTTGCCACATACATAGCGTCTATTTCGCAACATCTCTTCTATAGCAGTGTGTGTCCCTGGGTGACGATGACCTTGCCACATAGCGTCTATTTCGCAACATCTCTTCTATAGCAGTGTGTGTCCCTGGGTGACGATGACCTTGCCACATAGCGTCTATTTCGCAACATCTCTTCTATAGCAGTGTGTGTCCCTGGGTGACGATGACCTTGCCACATAGCGTCTATTTCGCAACATCTCTTCTATAGCAGTGTGTTTCCCTGGGTGACGATGACCTTGCCACATCGTCTATTTCGCAACATCTCTTCTATAGCAGTGTGTGTCCCTGGGTGACGATGACCTTGCCACATAGCGTCTATTTCGCAACATCTCTTCTATAGCAGTGTGTGTCCCTGGGTGACGATGACCTTACTACATAGCATCTATTTCGCAACATCTCTTCTATAGCAGTGTGTGTCCCTGGGTGACGATGACCTTGCCACATAGCGTCTATTTCGCAACATCTCTTCTATAGCAGTGTGTGTCCCTGGGTGACGATGACCTTGCCACATAGCGTCTATTTCGCAACATCTCTTCTATAGCAGTGTGTGTCCCTGGGTGACGATGACCTTGCCACATAGCGTCTATTTCGCAACATCTGTGTTTCCCTGTGACGATGACCTTACCACATAGCATCTATTTCGCAACATCTCTTCTATAGCAGTGTGTGTCCCTGGGTGACGATGACCTTGCCACATAGCGTCTATTTCGCAACATCTCTTCTATAGCAGTGTGTGTCCCTGGGTGACGATGACCTTGCCACATAGCGTCTATTTCTCAACATCTCTTCTATAGCAGTGTGTTTCCCTGGGTGACGATGACCTTACCACATAGCATCTATTTCGCAACATCTCTTCTATAGCAGTGTGTGTCCCTGGGTGACGATGACCTTGCCACATAGCGTCTACTTCGCAACATCTCTTCTATAGCAGTGCAGGTTCTACGTATATGCAAGATGCTACTCACTGTGGGGGCAGGCCGCGTGGCTGCCGGTGCTGACGCTCTGGTAGAAGGAGTTCTCGTCCAGCCATCGGCTGACGCCGTGCGAGTAGGCGCGGCACCGACCGGCCTGCTTGTCCCACGCGCAGTACGGGTCTTGGAGCGCTACGCATTCACTGAAACGGAAAACGCCCTTTAGTACTTGGCTGTCCTACCCGACTAATGCCCCGTCCCTTTATTCAACGAACGGCCGCTAGTTACATAGCTTCGTAACTTTTATAACGACTTGTAGATAAAAAGCGCGTACGCCCGGTTCCTATATTAACAAAACGAGGCGTTTTCCTTACGTGCCGTTGCATTACCTACGGAAAGTGAGTACTAATGGCCGTTCGTTGAATATAGGAACCGGGCATAAGTAAAGTAAAAGTTAGTTGTTCAGATCCAAATTTAAGTATATAAAACGTGACGTTTAACATGGTTTAAAAGAACGGCATGGTTGACGCAGATGCTAACTGATTCTTCATCGCTGTGCACGTAATAAGTCTGCACTAAAAATTAACTATTTCATTGGTTCGCTAAGCTGTTTCGCAATGAGTATATTCAATTGAAAATGAGCGTTCAGACGACAAGCTACCCCGGCTCTTTGACATAAAAAAGTGTGTGTGTTCTTATGTAAGCACTTAAGAATTTCATACTTTTAGCGTAGCAAAAGAAAAAGTACCTAACAAACTTTGATCCGGTGTGACGACAGTATTCTTTGAAAAAAACAAAAGACTTTAAATGCAACTTACAACAATCTACAATAACTTTTAAACCAGCCCTTTGAAACAAGTTAGCAACGCATTTGCTTTTAAACCGGGCCGCCTTTCAAACGAGTTAGCAACGCATTTGCGGAATCGTCAAATAGCCACCGACGGCGCGGTGTTGTAGGGACGCTTGAAGAAGAGAAAACTCGCGAGCAGGGGCTGATCTTGAAGTTGATGCGGAATCGTCGAATAGCCGCCGACGGTGCGGCGTTGTGCATGACCTTGAAGAAATAAGAAAAAAAAAAAAACTCACGAGCACGAGCTGATCTTGTCGCTGGAGCACCGGTGCAGCCTCAGGCTGAGCACCTCCCTGTCTGAGACGGCGATGAGCCTCGCCGCGTCCCTGCCCGCGCGCGCCACCCTAAGCGCGCGCACCGGCGAGCCGGCCGAGAACGCCTGCAGCTCCTCTATCACCACGGGCACCGCCCGCTTGTTCGAGTCGTATGACACGGCGTTTATCGCCTTGATGATCTTGCCGTTGTCTGCGCGGAACGAGTGTTGCCAGTGAGTCGGTGTGGTGTGATTCGGAATGTTTTTCTTATTTTAAAAAAAAAATTCACTAAATCCTTAAAAGTAAAGTAAAGTAAAGTAACAGCCTATACATGTCACACTGCTGGGCAAAGGCCTCCTCTGTACAGAGGGTTTAGAGGGTCTCTATACGGAGGTCATAGTCCACCACGCGGCCCCGCTGCGGATTGGCGGACTTCACATATCTTCGACATATATATATATTTTTTTTTGTTATTATTTCAAAAATATGCAGGTTTCCTCACGATGTTTTCCTTCACCGCGGAGCACGTGATAAGTCAGCACTTAAAGTTAAAAACTTCATTGGTGCCGGCACCGGGGATCGAACTCAGTTTGCTCGAGTATATTGAATTAAAGGCGAGCGCCCGGATACTGAGCTATCACGGCTTTTAACTAACTAAATCCTTACTTGCTTACAAATATAAAGGTGAAAGTTTGTATATATGGATGTTTGTTACTCATTCACGTAAATACTACTGAATGGATTTTAATGAAACTTTACAATAATATACTTTATACATCAGAATAAGACATACGCTATAATTTATATACATATTTTAAGTATATCTGTCTTTTTGTCTGAATGTTACGCTTTCAGCCTATTCTACGCAGACGTAGTCGCGGGTAGCAGCTAATATTTAATATGCGGTATTTTGATGCTGATATGTCTTCAATGATCAATATGTCAAAGCGTAAGATCTGTTTGTCTCGCTCACTTTATCAAATCGTAAGCCCGACGCAACTATGTGGTATATTAGTTATTGATATTATATAGATTATTGATATATTGGTTACTGATATATCATTCTGATTATCAACAAGATCATTTCGATAAATTCAAAGAGTTTAACCATCCTTTTGGCAAAACAAATGACATTTGACAGCTGAAAATTTAATACGGTGTTGAATGTACATATACTTATCGTTATGCGTGTGTAATGTGAATGTCAATGCTTATATCAATTTTTGTACATTCGTTTGTATGCCTTTCTAAAATATATGAAAAAAGAAAAAAAATGTTTACGCTTTCACAGTTTCGTTTCGGTTATAATTATGTATATAGCGGTGTTGGCTTTTGTGTGCGCGGAACGTAACGATTGCAGTGATAGAGTCGGATGTGGTTTGCTTTAAAATAATTCGGCTTTTACAATTTCCTTTGTCTGCACGAAACATAAAGGCTGCATAGAAGCAGATGCTAAACTATTAGCTGGGTTGTTAGGAGGTTCGATTCCCACACGGGACAGGTGTTTTAGCGACCCACAGAAAATTGTTTTGTTTATGGGTTATATCTAGTCCATGTTAAATTTAAGTAAACAATTGTTACGAAACAGGATAATAATTTATTATCTAAGATAACTTATTATCCAACAGCGAGTGCAACGCTTCAAACAAGGAATATTAAAATTTTATTTTAATTCGTTGTTACTAGATCCACGGGTACAAAGACACGGGCGTAACTTATTTGTTATTATAATTATGTGAAAAATATTACCGGTGCCGATGAATAAAACATCGTAAGCTTTCCCTCCGGGCGTTTTGACTTGGGGGTCCACGGCTATTTGTGTAAAACGGTAGCTGAAACAAAAGTTTATTTGTTATAGTTTATTTGTTAAGGTGGTAGGGCCACGCAGCAGCCTCGGCTGTTGCACGAATGGGCAGGCTCGTCCGGGTAAGTACCACGACCTCACAGAAGACCGGCCTAAAGTGGAAGTATAATAACGTTTCGTCTGGTGAGTGAGGTGGCCGGAGCCAAATTTTCAAAAGGTTGTCAACGCCTCTGGAACCCTTGGGTGTAGCAAATGTCCATGGGCGGCGGTATTCACTTAACATCAGGTGAACCGTCTACTTGCTTGGCAACTTTTCACATAAAAAAAATATAAATAATTCGATAACAAACAAATGTTTTGCGCAATGATAATCCAGTGAATCAACGCTCAGTATCAAGTAGTATAAGGAATCAAGTATCAGACCAAATCGATTTGAAGATTGAACTAGTTGAGCTGTGTTAGAGATATCACGTTGGAAGTAATATCTTCTTAATGAAGCTTATGAAACATGACTTTATTTTAATAGAAATCTATCAAATGGTTCAAGTGTGTAAGGGTTCAACCGTGTTCAAGTTAATATGAAGGATTCAACGTGCGTTTGTAATAAGTTCCAGAAATTCGCTAGGAAACTTCACCATAAACCCTGGTCGCTTATTACGTATGTAAGTTAAAACATGTGCATCATAAAGCCTTCAAAAGTATTTCAAGTGAATTTTGCAAAATCATCCCAACTCACTGGAAACTCGTCCTTATCACGATTGGCTCGCCGAAGAACGTGGGCACGGACTCGTCCATGAGCGCGTGCGTTTTTATGAAGTTGAGCGTTTGGTCCGGCAGCAGCCTGGAGTCGTTGTGGCACGTGCCTGGACGAGGCTCCGGCACCTACAAGGAGCGGGGTACACTTGTGACACCACGTTTGTCTTAAAACACAACGCTGCAAATGTGGTCATATCGTCATAGCTCGAAAAGAAATCGAAGATTTTCGAAAAAAATTAAAAACTTTCGCGAGACATTGTTTACGTAATAATAAGATGGTTAAACTCACGTTATTCGAGACACTTTCTTCCCTATCCGTTCTATTTACGAGCTATATGGCCGGCCCATTGCCACTTCAGCTTACTATAATTCTGAGCTTGTAACTGCTCTCTATTTATGTCCTGCTGCACGTTGCTGTACAGTGGCGGACAGCGTTGTTATTCCATATTGTGAAGATGAACCATCAGGCATTACGCGACAATAACGATATTTTGAAGCGACTGTACACGCAGTCGGATTCTCACCTTAGCGCTATTAACGGGCAGCCAGTTGGAGTTGATTTCGCTCTGTTCCTTGAAGGTGCCTTCGAATGTGTCAGCGATGTCCTGCATGCTGAAAGCGCACACGGCGCTCCCCGATATGCTGTTCGGGGGCGTCGTGAAGGTTCCGTATATGAGCTGGGCGTTGAGACCACCGTACACGCCCTCTATCAGCTCGGTGGTCGATTCTGCAGGGGAAAGAAATGTCCTTATGCCTACAGAAGATAACCACCATTACGTTCATTACTTATAGTTATTCATTTAGAAATAACAAAATTGCATACAAATATTTGAATTGCCGTTTTGATTTTTACTGTCATTAATGTTTTCGATATCTGAATTGTTGAGATATAAGCCATTAAAAATGTTTGCTTTCTCTTGTACAACAAAATATAATACGTTATATAACGTTATATTTTCTCAGCTTTAACAAGTAACATCATACATATCAAAAATAATAATTATTTTACCAAATACCAAAGATTTGGTAAAATAATTATATCGGTCACGGTTTGCTACGATTATATTTCTCTTTCTCATTAAGAAATCATTAGTTTTTACCGGAGTGTTGTTCGGTGTGTTTTATTCCGTTAAAAATACTCACGTATTTCGTTGAAGTAAAAGGGAAAATCGCCGGCCACAGAGCAGTTGAGGCGCGACTTGAGGAAGGAGGTCCATCGTTGCTTGAAGCGGTGCGGGCCGCCGCGATCGTCACGACACACCCTGGCCACTCTGGAGAAGACAGCCTGGAACAAAAAAGTTGGTGGATGTGACAAAGGCACTCGGAGTAGTGCAGATAAGCGCTTACTACGCTTACTACAACTGCTTTCATTCACAGATATTCCGCAACGAAGTAACGACCACATCAACGAATATCGTTTGTTGAAATCGATGGGTGCATTCAGAGAGATTAATTTATGGTTCAATTTACATTTCATTCGTTTACGTGGTTTAATTAACAATTATATAGGTTGTGCAATTTAATAAGATTTGGTGTTAGCAAAGACTAAGTAATTTAGGTAGGACTTAAATCCGCCTTTTTCATATTACACTGTTAATCATGTAGCGTTGCGAAAATGTGTGTAATTTATTTATGTAATTTCCTCGTTAGTTCGCAGTGTCTGAGGGGATATTAATGAAATTTCCAATGGAGTTCTACATCGAATTTACACATATTTCACTCGTAAGAGTAAACAGAATTGAACTATTTTCTTACGCTAACAACACGCGGATGAAGTCAGAGGGAAAAGCGAGTCATTTTATATAAAGTTATGTCCGATGTATCCACCGAACGTTAACGTTAATAAAGCCCGAGTGCAGTCTTGTGCAATTCCTAATTGGCTCAAATGGCTGCTAATGGGATGAAGGGTCTTACGTCCGGCATTGAGATCCATAAAAACTCATTCCTATTATTTATCAGAGCAGTCGCTATCAAGGCCTTTTATTTGCACACCTGTTCGTTGATCGTAATTTGTGGCGAAAGACCTTCATTGCAACTACTAACACGAAATGCATGAAAATCAATAACATCCGTAAACATTCATTAGATGCTGTTAAATTGCGATCTGTTTCAACAAGCACAGTGAACCGCCATCGGGGTTACGGTCCTCACCGAACCTCGATGGCTCGTAGGCGACATGTCACAACTAACGCACGTTTGAGTACATGCGCGGCCCTACCCACTGAGGAGGGCCATAAACCCGTGGGTTCTGGCCTACCAGTTCTGCGTTCGATGAAGCTTTAATAGTCTAAGGACTGAAAGCGTAATATCAGTTATACTAAAAAAAAGCGATCTGTTTAATTACAGAGGTATAAAAATAAAAGGTATTTTTGTGTTTTACATTAACAGATGTTTTTGTTTACAGTCCGTAGACATTGAAGCTATCGAAGCGTATGCAGAACTCGGGGGCTAGCCAGAACCCCGAACCCACCAACTTGATACGTCGGATAGGGCTGCACATGTGCTTATGCGTGGATTATCTATGGGGAGGAGTGTCAACAATAGGTCATAGAGGTTCTTTACGGACCGTGAACCTTATGGCCGTCGACTGTATTAATCGATCAATGGGGACAGTAAGAACGCGTTGTGTTCGTTTCGCCGTGCTCGTAGGCAACGACCAACTAATAGGTTTTGTGTTTTAGCACTAAGTGTGCGTTTGTGTTGTCTAGCGGAACGCCGCTAATAATTCAGTTAGGCTGTTTATTCACATCGCCTATTTATCAATACATATTGATCACAAAAAATACATTATTATTATTAAATAGTGATGCGGAAAACAGAAAATATATAGGTATGTTTAACGTCCAAACATGATTACTGGACGACATTTATTAAATTCTCGGCGATTTGGATTAAATTGTTTGGTGACTGCTGCAACATTATCTATTTCTAATTAAAAATTAAGTAAAAAAAAGTTACCGCGTAGAAATATAACATTATAAAAAGTGTTGCTTACCTTTCCGCAATTGATATATTCCACCGCCGTTTCCCGAAAGAAGAAGTACACAAAGTTCCCGTGCACTAAGGAATTCACGAAGTCCGGAGCTGAGAACAAAAGCCAAAGTTGCTGCTGCAAAAACTTTCGGGGAAAACTCTTACAGTAAGGCAAAGTAACATGTACACAAGCGCTCAAAGCGGCTTATTATTAGTTATTCTATTTAATAAACGGAAAATTAAAAAAAAAAATTAGTGATGATGAAAAGAAAAAAAACCTTAAAAAATCACAGAGAAACCTTCAATGTGTTTGGTAGACCGTTTCTGACAGCATATTAATTTTTAGTTCTTTGTGAACAACAGAAATAAATATTAAACAGTGGCGGTTCCTATTCGGAGTCCTTTTCTCTTTTTTTCAGAACCCTTTTTTGGTAGATATTACTGTCTGTAGTACCTTTGCTCCTTTTTCGGACCTTTTTTATTTTCATAAATTGCATAGGTATTACTGAATTAATAATATTGAAATATTCGTGGATTCATTAAAAAGATAAATTATTTGTAAGCAATAAGAGCTTGATATTATTTACATGGATTAAATAAATGCGATCGGAATCGGATATGTTATGTTTGTTGACGCATCGGCTGTCAGTCGCGTGCCGCCTCGTTGGCGCCCCGTTCCAAATTCAATTAACTTGACGGATGTCTGTTTGACAGCAGCATTCGCGGGCAATCGACCGTAGCAGTGTGCACACTAGTCAAACTTAAATTTGGAATTGGTAATATGGGAAAGATTTACTCCCGTTTTCGCTGCTCAATTTTTTACGATCGCGTCTATGATCTACTCCTAGTATCGACACCTAAAAGCTGACGGTAAAACAGAGCACTGTTGAATTAAATTACTCGTTTGTTATACCATACCGCTAATTGCTTTGGTGTTACGCGTACGTTCACAAGTTTTGGGGTTTTTTGGGAAAGTTTCAGGAAAAAAGACAGAAAGCTACGCAAGTATGAATTAGCTAATCTTTTTATATAAAGCTAACGAACCCGCCCCCGCTACGCGCGGGTGCAATGTATTATACATTTAAACCTTCCTCTTGAATCACTCCATCTAGTAAAAAAACCGCATCAAGATCCGTTGCGTAGTTTTAAAGACCTAAGCAGATAGGGACAGACAGACAGCGGGACGGCAAAATAAAGCCCATAATTTGTACAGAATTGTTATATAAGTTAACATGAATGAATAGCCTGTAATCGAACAGTTTGGTTACGCTCTAGATACAGGACCATAATACATTCTAGAATCCTGCACCGAATTCCAAATCCCTTTATAAGGAAACAGTAGGTTCGTTAGCTTTACGAAATATCGAACATTCTCCAAATATTATTCACTCCGGTACTCTCTCAATTTCAATTTGTACACCAATATAATCCAGCAATATTTATAACGCATAAATATAATACTTATGCCTAAGTTCTCATGATAGTAATCACTTACCACAGAACCAGATTTTTTTATGTGAGAAGGTGGCAAGCGAGCTGGCGGTTCACCTAATGTTAAGTGGTAACCGCCGCTCATTGACATATGCAACACTACCGCCCGGTTTCTGAAACACTGATCATCGTAGATGTCAAATAACCAGTTGTCAAAGGGATTTTCCCAAAAGGATTGTTAAACTCCTTGAATTGATTCATTCTGATCATTGAGATCATTCTGATCGATTCAGAGAGCTTAATAATTCTTTTGGCAACTCAAATAACATTTGAAATCCATTTGACAGCTGGTTAGTTGACATCTACGATGATCAGTGTTTCAGAAACCGGGCGTACGTGTTGTAAATGCGTTACCACCTTTTAACAAACTGGGCCCCGGCTATAGCACTCACCAGACGAAACATAGAAGTATGACACTTCCACTTCACGCCGGTCTTCTGTGATGTCGCCGTACTTACCCGGACGGACCTGCCCATTCGTGCAACAGCGAATACTGTTGCGTGGCCTTACCACAGCTACTTCCCAACTTTACGTTTTAAAAAAAAACTTTGTAGATAAGACTTTAAAATTCTAGTTATATTTGATCGGAAAAGCGTTTCTTCGAGTAGGATTATTGATTTATTTTCTTATTTTAAAAACTTCATGCAGAAAACACTGCACATGGGCGGACTTAATGCTGATAGCGTTTTCTCAACCTTAGGGTGGTACTGAGAATTTGAGTAAGTGATTTAAAAAAAATCGTATCTCTATTGCATCTAAAAATAAATTCATTTTAGAATTGATTACTAGATTTATTATTAGATACATTAATGTTGATAGATTATTTATAAAATAAATCTAATATCTTAACTTACCTTTCACGTGATTCGTTGGTATTTTTAAGAGATTTTCTAATTTTGCCCTTGCACAGTAATTACAAAATGTATTAGTTACATATCAAGAGCATTATGTATATGGTCGTATTTTGCTTATAGTCAGTCATATTCGTCATTGGTTTGTCTATTTAACGGATTCTATTATAGTTTTGATTTCTCCTTAAATTCCACATACCGTTCAGCGTCATAGAATCATAGGGTTCAGTCTGCAGTGGCTCTCTGTAGATGATTGGCTCCATGCCACTGAAATCGGCCACCGTACCCGAATACAGTTCACCATCTGGAAAATTGAAAGCGGCGAGTTAATATTTATATTAGATCCCATGTTATTAATTTTAAGGTGCTAATTTGCTCCGTTCAATTATGTGGCTAGTCAGTCATAGCGCTGAATAAATAATTAAGTGAGAATAATTTTTGATTGAAGATAAAAATTGTGTTCGAATGTACCTAAAAACTTTTTATATTTCATCCAAAAACTGGTCAGAGATTGGCTACCATCTAAACTAATGGTAAGTAAAGATGTAACCTTAATTGGTAAACGCACCATTTTAGTAACAGTCCATTCACTTTTGCCTTGAATATCATTATAATCAGGCGGGAAAATTGACGGAGCTGTAAAAATAAGTATTTAAATTCATTTTGTGAAATAAAAAAATGTCAACGTATGAAAAATTCACTCAAACTCTATCCTTATAATTATACTAAATATATTACAGTGTAAATCATTGAGCAAACTTTTATTACATTTGAATTAAATTGGTAAAACTTTATGAAACACTTTAAGTGCATCGTTACGGGATTGTGCATGCGTACCGACACAGGAGTTTTAATGATAGATTAAACGCGATAAGATTCGCGTGAACATAAGAAAATTTTACTGTAGTTTAGTTCAATTTTCATTTTTAATACTATTTTTATTTTTGGTTCTTTTTATGTGATAAATTGGCAAACGAGCTGGCGGTTCACCTGATGTAATAACCACCGCCCATGGACTTTTGAAACACCCATAGGGTTGCAAATGCGTTGCCAAATGCATGTAAATAAATAAAGTGGGCCCGGTGGTTAATAAAACAGGAGATTTATTATAAAGTAATGTAATAATATACAATCAAGAAGTTCAATACTGCGGCCTGGAAGTTAGAGGGCTTTTTTTTGTTCTAAAAACTTATAGGTCGGTTCAACTTTGTTATTGCCTTAATTTTTAGCCACGGAATAAAAAAATTACCGTTTAAAATTGTAGTTGATTAATAAATCAACTTTCTTAACTTATTTGATTGCTGATTTTAGGGTTTATTCGTCGAACAGTAAGCGTTACATTTTTATTATTACCATCAGGTTAACAAACCGCCACGAATAATATATGAATTTGCTTTTCTCAAACGGAATAAAACAATCTAAATGTACTCATTTTGAATTTGCAATTACCACCAACGTAATCAATGACACGTTCCCCGATTCCTTTTCACGAAAGGTTTTCATAATGGCTAACACTCTCCCGCCAGAGTTTACTCCCTAATGGAAAAGTTTTATTTAATGTTTTTGTACAACAATAATTGATTTAACGGCTGTCCCGTTTCGTTCTAAGTTAGACGACGTGAAAAAAAATCCTTTTATTTTATGACTATAATCACTGAACGTAGAATACATTAACTTGGAGAAAAAAGTTTCATACGATTATAACACACTGATTTCTACATTTTACACTTTAAGTCCGCATGACTCCATAAAGCCAGTGATGAAATTACCGGCTGTCATTTTTGTTGCAATGAGCTCTAGTGGTTTAAATGGGTTAATATACGAATAACACTGAAATATAGAGTCGTTGGTTCGTTTTAATCTTTCTATTCTTTACAATAATTGATGACATGACAATGCAAAGTTATTCTCGTTCTGGGGGAGAGTTCTGAGCGCCGCCATTTTCCCGCAAAGCGCGCCAAGTTCTTGTGCGGCGAGGGACGTCGCGTCGGCTACTAATTGCTCGCTCTTAGCATGTCTATCGAATAATTCTATATTCATGGGATTCCGTATGTACCGCGGAATCGATTACGTGACCGGACTGCGCTCAGGCCGTGTTAATTAGCTTCATGCGGACATTACCGGTGATTGGAGGGAGCCGTGATAAATTTTAATCTGTCGAATGTGTGATGCATCACAATGATTATTGTTTGCATCAAATGTGACATTCGTAATTTTTGGCAACTGTGACATGCGTAATTTCGTAAGCGGAACGATGTCAGCGCTGCTAAGCGCATCGAAAAAGCTGGACGAGTAATCCAACCCGTATTTGTTCTTGATCTAGATGGTTGTCCTCGCTTTTATGTTTTTTTGTATATGCACGCAATAAGGTCTTTTTTTAAAGAAAATAATCAGTCAATAAAACTTTTATTTTACTTATTTTGTTACGAGTAAGAATCTACGGCAAGTTTAATATGTGGGAAAAGTTAAGACAACTGGGACGGGACTTAGATGAAGACACTACCTTATTTGGATCAGAATGGTAACACTTGAATAGCTGTGGACAGTCCAACGATACTCTTCAAACTTTATCAAAAGTTGTAAATTTTTGAAAGCACTATCTCTAAGCTACAAACACTAACTATTCTCGCTTAAAGTGTTATCTCGCTAAATTCATCAATAATGTATCCTAGGCGCCATGCCTCGCGGAGAAGTTCAATTAGACAATTTTTCAATATATTAAAAATTATTTTATCAACATCCAATGACAATGTTTGACGCAAACAAAAATTCATGGGGTAGAAATAACTAGAATTGGTCCAACCGATCGCCGCCCGCCAAACATCGGTATGCAGTAGGTTTTTTAATTGTTCAAACGTAGCACGACACGGGCCGCGCGTACCAAATTGCCTTAATCCCTTCTATGAAATACTGCAGATGGCGGGGAGTGGATCCGCATAGCGTTCCCGAGGGCGTCGCTTCACTTAATTGGACCAGATCAATAGGAGATAACTAAGCGTGGCCACCGTAATGGACTCCGTGGACATCGGATGACCTATGAATGTATTGTGCCCTTTGTGAAAACTGTTAGCTCTTATAACTGAGTGATAAGGGTCAGAATCGAACACGCGGCTGCGTACGTGCACAGCACTTGGGTCAACGTTGCACTAACTGATGATAAATATAGTTGCGAGAACAATCTAAATAATGTGTTATTGACACAAGTTTTACTTCGATTATTTTAAACCATAAACTGTGTCGTTGAAAAGGAAATTTAAAGTGTTCGACGTTGTAAAGTGAATTTGTTGAAAAAGAAACTAACCGAGCCAGTTAGTCTGCTCCGTTTTTGTTTAGATTATTATTTTCAGAAAAATTTCGCCCGTGCTGTATAAATAATAAAGAAGGTTGGAATTTATTTTAATTCATAAAGTCACGTATAAGAGTCACGGCGAAACCGAATTAATTAGCGACTGCGGAGATTTTTTCCAATTCTAAAGTGTACTTGATGTCGTGTTAAACTGGGGAATAAAATGAAGGACCTATTGAACATACATCGAACTTGCGTTCTTGGCCGTTAAGATGTATTGCTAATTACTGGCATGGAGAAAAATAATAAGATAAAATATAATTACTTACAAACGAGTGTCGATGTCGGATATGAATCTCGGTGATAAATGAGTATCAATTTGTAACGGGATGCGTTAAGGTGAAGATAATTGCACAAAGGGACAGCGTGACGGTAATTTATGATGTGTCCTATCATGTGTCGAACTCTGTGGGGTGAGCAGAGACGTCCCGCCGTAAAAGATGTACACGAATATAGATCTAAAACAATACGAGTTAAAGTCCAATATCGAATTAAAAAGCGTAAAAGCAAGCGACGAGGTATAGGATACGTAGATACCGATGCGTTATAGGCTGACCATCAAGTATCGTGCGTACCCGGCTTTGTAAAGGCAGTCCGTACAGAAAAGGCTTTCTCCCACAAAGGTAAGTAGGAAAGTAAATTATGTTTGTTTGTTTGGGATAATCTTTTTCCTATCCAAATTGTTTACCCCGGCTCCCGCAATGGAGGGCTCGGGACTGAGGAAAGAACATTTCAGTCGTCGCAGAGAATAATGCCTACCCGTACATTTCGCTGAGCCTACGTTAATACGTTAAGTTGTGGTTTTCGGCATTGTTGTTTCATTAATTGTTTTCCTTAATTTATTTAAACATATACAAGCGTCAATATTTGATCGCAAAAGAGCTATCGTTTTTATTAAAACTTTTGCAGTTTCAACTTAAACATCGATGAATACATAGAGGGGCTATTTTCGGATCGTTCGAGTTAAAATAAACGTTATCTAACCATAAAAAAACATAATAATAAAATTGCCTTTATTTTTTGGCAATGTTTTTTTCGTTTGACGTGGACAAATAGCCGTGTGAAACGTGCGAAACAAATATCTGTGGGTCACACAAATTGTAGTCCCCTATGGGATTCGAACCCACAACAACTGAGCCACGGAGTCATGGTGAGGTGAGTTCTCTGGCAAGTTCTAGTTTAGTGATCCGATGTTAGTTTTTTTGACGTTCAATAAGTGTTTAAATTCAGCCTATATTGAATAAAGAAATTTTGACTTTGAAAACGTATACTCACATGTACTATGCGTCAGTTCATGACAAAAATAGGGGATATTTTCTGAGTATGACACTCATATTTTGTGTCTTTAAAGCTCTTTCAATTATTGTTTAATTTTATTTTATGTGAATTTATGTATACGATACATCATAGGTAAGGTACCTTTAGGGTGAGGTAACCGGAATCCTCTGTGTTAATGGTTGGCAACGCATCCGAGCCCGTGAGCTGTTGCAGATATGGGCGGTGATAATTACTCAACATCAAGTGAACTGTCCGTTTGCTTGCAAACTTTTGACATAAAAAAAAATAATGTTAGTAATAAACTTTTAGAGCAAGATTTGTTCGTTATTTGAAGATAAAAGACGACCAGAGTTTAACATTTACTGTAGGTACATTGTTTAAATGTTAATATTTATATTGTCTGATTTGTGAATCAATAAAAAACCGGCCAAGAGCGAGTCGGAAAATTTTAGTCGTCGTAACTATCACGGTTCATGAGGTACAGATTGAAAGACAAACCGACAAACAGACACCGGAGTCTTAGTAATAAGGTCCCGTTTTACCCTTTGGGTACGGAACCCTAAAAAGGCTTTTAGCCGGAGAGTTGTATTAAATATTGCAACATTTTGAATGGATTACGATCGCTTCATATTTACTCTCTTCCCTCATCTGATGTCCGGAGGCGCGTATCGAGCAAGGAGGGGGCCTATTTCGGCCATTGTCTTGGCACGTAGAGGCACCGTATAGCGCTAATATTATGTATAGCAGCCACGTTGAAAAACGTATCCGCTGTCCCATTCAGCCGACGCCCATTCAGCGCAACAATGAGTGGCCATTGTACGCCACTAGACTGTGAAAGTGGCCCCAATCGGTATGAAAAAGATTCCTCTTTTCCCTAATTTCCCGACAACGGACGCAGCAGGTACACGGGGCTCGTGCCTCCGCGAACCGACGGAGTATCGAACCTAATCACACGTTCAAGTGAGCATTTTCGGCCCTGTAGCGCGCTCGCGTCCGTCGGAATTTCATCTACATTTAAAACGTCTGTTTCACTCGATGGAAAACAAAGGAGACAGAATGAAAGACACATTAACTTAAAGAATAAAGCGATATATTAAACACATCGAACCGTATGTTTGCATAGTGAATAATCTAACGCTGTGTGGGGAAACCTTTTTGGTGCATGGTATTATAAGATATAATTAGCATTTAGGATTGTTTTGACCAAATGCACATTTTAACTTTCTTTCTAATTGTTGAAAAATACGTACAAATTTTAATCAGTGATAGGCGTGGAACGACAGACCTCAATCATTTTATTCATGTAGATAAAATACCTGTATTCGATAAATTGAATCGTTTCAAAAGAAAAAAAACAAAACAATAGTAGCTGACCTTTCTAAACTGTCTGGTCCAATGAATTACATCTTTAAAATTTTATTATCATTTTGCCATTAACTTCTTACAGCATTTTGTTATATATGCTGCGTTGTGAGAACGTCTCGATTTGAGTATACTTTTTATTTACAGACGTTGCTAGGTTGTTTGTGAAATAAGAAAAAAAGCGATGTAGTCGATGGCCGGCGCAGACAGCTTATCGTGATTTTCAAAGCGCGGAGACAGCTGTATTGAGTGGCACTAAAGAGGACGCACACCAAGGGCGGACTAAATACCACAGCCCCCCAAGGGAGCCTATGTGCCTCACAAGGCACTTATACTCAAGGGGACACTTGGCCAACGCGAAGATAAAGTAGTTTCGAGTCTGAGAACATTTAAGCCTTTTGTAATATTCAATTAGCTAGCAAAGCAAAATGTTTCACAATGGCTTTTTTTCATTATCAAATACTACGGTTGTACTAAAATTTCAATTCGGATTGAGGCAAACTTTTTCCTCTTCGATGACTTTTATTAGATTAATTTTACACGTGGATCCATTTACTTCAGGCATTTTAATATTTTATTTTATTTCGTTATTTTTGTAGGTTGTTATTTTTGATAAAATACAGGATTACGGTTAGAAAGAATATATGTAATGTAGGATATATCCCAAAAAAACATTTCATACATATTATTCATGAATCCTAACTAAACATCAAGTAAACGTTACAGAGGTTTTTATAAATGTACTACATGATAGCCGTGTCTTCGTCTGCGTTGCTTATAATATTAACAACTACACCAAGTCCTTTGTCGAAGTGCAGTCGTACATATATTGAATTACTAGCTTTTCGCCCGCGGCTTCGCTCGCGTTGTAGCCCCTTCAATAAATATCTTTCAACCACTATACAACACTTTTTTCTAATTAAAAATAGTCCTTTCTCAGGCTCTACATTAAGTGTGTTCCAAATTTCCTTTATATCGGTTCAGTAGTGTTGAAGTGAAAGTGACAGACAGAGTTACTTTTGCATTTATAATATTAGTATGGATTTACACTTTCTTTATAAAAATTAGCGCTTAACCGAAAGCCCTTTAGGTAGAACTTCTGCAAGATCATTCGATTTTACAAACAAGAGTAGCGGGTGGTTAAACAACACTTTCAGGTTCAATCGCGTTTTATTTTGTTTTGTATTTCCCGTCGTTTTGATTTTGAACATCTGTATGGCTGTGCTATTAGAGTTAACAAATTTCGTAATTGAGAGAATAGAGTCAAACAAGGATGTTGATAAATCAAAGAAGAAATCGTCAAAACCTAGTCAGAGGTAAGAAAAAGTTGAACTTTATATTCATAGACTAGCCATCCGCCGGCTTAGCACGGGTGATAATATATTATACTTATTAACTTAGCTCTTGAATCTCTATGTAGTAACCGCATTAAGATCCGTTGCGTAGTTTTAAAGATCTAAGCATGTACATAGGGACAGACAGACAACGGGACGACTTTGTTTTATACTATGTAGTGATTATGGAGTTGTTTAAACACAATCTTTTTTATGTATACAAATAACCCTTAAATGGCAAAATACGAGAGTTTTATTAAGAAAAATCATGGTTTCCTAAAATTTTACGAATACTTAATATTTTGTGGATATTTAATGAAACCACTTAAGGGGAGGGTTTTGCCTGAAGCCGTTCTTTTGACCACGAAGGCTGTAAAGTATTCGAAACGACGGGGTAAAAATTAACCACGAGAGATCCGCGAATAAGTTATTAGCAAGAAAGTTAATATTAAATTTGAATATCTTGCTCCTAAGGCAAGCTCAAAACCACGAAAGGGAAATAACGCTAACAAATAAAACCGAATAATTTACAACGTAAATAAATTATGTGTTCGAAACATATGAACGTTTATTAATGTGTTGAATTGATATTATTCGTTCAGAACAAATGCCCTAGTGTGAGATTGATACGAGTTTGCAATAATATATTATGTATCCAACGCACTGAAGCCGCATTTAAGCTCAGATTGCATAGTGGATAAATCAATGCAAATCTACTGCGCACTAACCAGGTTATCTCAAAATGTGTTAAACATTGCGCTTTATGCAAATAGCAAACTATATTGAACTTTAAGCTATGTTGATATCTAAGTAATCTTGATATCTACCTAATCTTTAAGCTATGGGTTATAGTTACAATAAAAAACATATGAAACACTTTTGACACACATAAATACTTATGAACATTATGAAAAATATCTCCAAAATATTTTAAATATGTAGATACCGCTTTGAAAGAACTCATTTTTCTCCCATTCTGATTACAAAATAAGATATTTCGGAGAAAATTTATATAAAATGTCCGTTATTCAAAGCTCCGTTACAAATAATGATTCGTTACAAACGGGTGCCGATTTTTAATAATTTAGAATAAATTAATAGTTTAGAATGTTTTTTAAGAAAAAAGGTTTCCGTTTTTTTTTTAGATTTCTGTTGTATTCCTGTGTTAGCGTTCACAAGTAGCTTGTTCCAGTGTTCCATACTTTTGGTGGTCCTAAGACCTACGTGCTACACAAATCTGAATAACACTCACCCGCGTAAACCGCAGTCGAGTTGTGCTCCGGGTCGTAGGGGCAGACCGCTTGGCCGGACTTCTCCCTCTCCATGTGGTAGGAGTCGCGCTGCACGCTATACTCCCTGCAGAAGGGCTTGAAGCTGTTGGTGCCGCAGACCAGCAGCCGACCGGGGCCGAGAGAGACCAGCACGCGGATGTAGTTTTCGCAGCTCTCCTATCGGAAGGGGATTAGATCGGTTACTATAAGCCGTTATAGTTCAGTGTCCGGGCGCTTTTAATACAATATACTCGAGCATCCTGATTTCAATTCCCGGTACCAGCAACAATGAAATTGTTGATCACAATTTTGAGTGCCGACTTATTATAAATGCTCATGCCACAGTGAAGGAAAACATCGTGAGGAAACCTGCATATTTTAGAACTAGTAACAAAGAAATATCGAAGAAAACATGTGAGATCTGCCAATTAGCAGTGGGTTTTATGGACTATGCCCAAATACTATATATCTTAGATTGACTTTGCTTGACTGGCAGCACACCTTATGGTAAGAGATGCAGCAGTTGCAATCTAAATTTATAATTATGTTTCATAATTCAAATACTTTAAACGCCTCTACTTAAATAATCAGAAAAGGATGAACACAACTTACTTTAGAGGAATAGCTTTAGTATCAAACTCATATGTTTGTTATGTGAATATAAAATCTAAGAAGAAGTCGAGCATATATCGTGAGTGATATAATACTTCGTTGGATAAGCTATTGTTAAAATAGTATAACATGTACTCTTTTTGAGACGATAACACTTCGGATGCTAACAAAATTTTTTGTTTGCGCAGAATGTTTCTTTAAGGCAAACAAAAGAAGCACACCCCTATTTTGTGAGGAGGGTGCGTGTATTTGAAAAGAACACAATGCATGATGATGATTTTGAATGTAAAATCAGATGATAATGAAGTGATTTATGACAATGTTCTATTTATAGTACGGTTTACATTATCAATTTACTTCACTTTACTTTGATTGATGTTTTTGCTTACAGTCCGTGGACTGTTATAATCATATGCTGTGGAAGTGTTAAACACACTAAGTTATTCATTTTTTTTATTAGTTTTTAGACGGTTTGGTCTTTTAGGTGTTTTTTCCAATGCTTGACGATATTCATAGGAAGTATATATAGCCTTTAATGAAGAACGTAGACAAATTAATCTGGCCGAGTAATGTCACATTTGCCCATTATTATTACTACACACAATAGCTATGCTCGGTAAAATATAATAGATACCTGTTATACCGTTCCTGTGACTTGAACAAAACAGTATTACTGTCAGACTGTCATTTTATACTACGTGGTGACAAACTGTGTGCTTTTAGCTGTTACCGTAGAATAACTTGTTTACTGTAACTGCTGTTTTCGTTTGTGGTTAATGGTTACAGATACTTTTATATTTGTAAGGTTGTTAGCAAAACCTATATCATGTGGGTTGGTATAGTATAATTATATTATTAAAAAATCTTAGTGAAAGTGATGCTTCCAACTTTTACAAAATGTTTTTTTGTTAATTTCCTTAAATTTCTGTCCTAAAAGTTTTAGATTATTATTAAACGCAAACATGTTTTAGTAGTTCCTTTGAAAGAATGATATGAGTGAATCCGGTCGCAGTAACAGGACAAGGAAATACATTATTACTGAAATCCATACTTCTCTTCCTAGCAAAGGTATATATGCCCATGCAAGAAAAAGAAAGAGCTTGTGAGAGAATGTAATGTCTATTAATAACTGAACAGGATACTAGTTTTTATCTCTTTCTAATTAAGGCTCTATATTAAAAAAAAGAGAAAAACTTGTTTCTTATCCGTGGATTATTTAATTTATAAATTCTGTCCGAAACAGAAATTGTTATTTCAGTTTGTTCATATTAGGCTTAGACTGTTATTTTAAGAGACACGTCACATTTAGCTGTTAAGATAAATACGCTCGACTCCCACACTAATATCAACCCGACTGCCCTTTTTTCGGCTTTAGTAGCATCGTTAACGCGGCAAATTCAATCCGAATTCTTATATGGCAGTATTCAATGAAAAACTAAGACTGCTAACGATTGTTCACAGAAGACGGATAGTGCACACATTGTATCAACGCGACGAGAACACGGCGACCGCTTTGTTCTCCACAGGCTCACGTCACTAGCAATTTGTCTCGTTTTTACGAGGAGTCGAGTGGAATGGGAAAGATCGCTATACTTTTAACACACTTTACGACGAGAACTCCGATTTCAATATTTAAATCCTATTGAAATAAAGTGGATTATTTATACCGATCGTAAAACAACGCGGTCACTGGTGCCAATACGAATTAACTGGCACAAAATGTTTTGATGAGCTGATACTATATCCATAAACATAAATTTTAACAAAGACCGACTTAAAAAAAGACATCATTATAAATTAATATGCACTAAAAAGTTAAAAAAAATTATTCTACAACTTAATAATCAACTTACTTTTTCTACTCATCAATATGTAGATCTATGTGTTTAGGTAATACTTTAAAGTCAACCAAATTATTACGACAATATACATAATGTTACATTTATTGTTATTTTTAAAGTCGGTGTCAGTCAAGGTAGGTTTGTAACTACATATATAGTCATAGATGAGATGTGCTTGTGTAGCACCCGCGAATTGCGAGGCGAGAGGCGAGAGCGGGGCCGCGGCGAGAAGGGAGCGTAGGTATATTTTTTTGTTTCCTTGGCTAATCAAAAATTATACTTTTAATAAGTTGAGGAGTTAACGTGGAAAAAATGGGTATCCCTCTTTTTTATCAAGTTTTCCTGAGGTAATGGCACTGCAGTTTTTACTGTTGAACGTAATGTAGGACGTCCGAGAAAGTATATAGGTAAAAAGTTACAAAGGTTGCAAAACAAGCCCGGGTGTTGTAGATGTCCATGGGCAACAGTGATAACTTAGAATCAGGTGAACCGCGTGCTTCTTTGGCACCATCTCCCATAAAACACAGGTATTATTATTATTTTAAACCTTTATTTTGTGATAAAATTTATGCCCCTTCCTTTTCAACATATTTCTATTGTAAAATATTCCTTCGTGATGAAACGAAATTCGAATTGAAAGCTCGAATTCTCATTTAACAGATTGCACGGCACCGATCGCGGTGAGAAACTGAGCCGGTAACGTTGAATGGACGCCGACAATAGGAGGCCGTGCGAGCGATTACATTTGCATCTCCACGCTACTCCAGAAAGCTCCAGATGTCCGTCCGGTAATCCCGTTTGAGTACATCGGGCTCCGTAAAGGGTGATTGGATTTATGCATTGCCCGTGGCGTTTCACTTGCGATTCGGGAACGGCCCGCGATGGGAGCATCAGCCGATCAATCCGTACGGTGCTCGGCGGCCTGTTAATTCGATTGCATGCAAATGTTCGTCTGCATATTAGTTTCTTGCAAATGTACGTAAACGAGTAGACAGATCAACTGTCAATGAGAAAGTAAATGTGTCAATTTTAATTCGATCGACTCCACTAGGGAGGGTCACAGCATGTCCTCTCCTTTTTTTATGTGAGAAAGTGTTAAATACGCTGGCGGTTCATCTGATGTTAAGTGATAACCATCGCCCATAGACATTTGCAACACTCTACGTTGCAAATGCGTTGCCACCTTAAATAAAGTAGGCCCCGGCTACCTCACTCACCAGACGAAAAGCAGAAGTGTAACACTTCTATGTTACGCCGGTCGTCTGTGAGGTCTGGTACTTACTCGGACGGACCTGCTCATTCGTGCAACAGTGTTGCATGGCCCTACCACCGTTGACACACTCCTTTCACTTTCCTTTGTCACCCTTCATCTCAATAGTTCATTCTTCACGTAGTTCATCCAAATCTTTCTCGGTCTTCCTCTAGCTTTATACTCTCCAACCACATTCACACTTATCACTCTTCATGGTGGTTTGTTGATCTTATAGACCGGGTGACTTGTGAAAGTATTCACGGCTTTAGCGGATATAATAGGTTCGGCTTATAAAATATGATCTTTAAAAGGTGCATCAACCGGCTTTTATTTTAACATCTTCCAACGTCGTGGTTTAAGGTTTTATATAATTATATTAGGAGTATTATGAACATATCATATGTTATTTGTGGTAATGGAATAGGCAGTAATAGTTAGTTTTGTTCACGTTTTGCCGGGCCCCTTTTACATTCAAAGTCAAAGTCAAAATTCCTTTATACAATATAGACTTGTTGTGCTCTTATTTAACGTCAAAAAACTATCATCAGTCACTTATTTAGATCTGTCCAGAGAAGAACCGGTAATATACTCTGCTGTTCTCCCTATAATGTATAACATCAGCAGAAGCCAGAAGACTTACAAGTGCAGAGCAAGAGTCATTTCTACACATTCTTGTAACCAATTTATTGTTTGACATTATAATAGAATTTTCAAATTGATTTAGGCTTTACACTTAAATGACGTTTAAGTTTAGATGCATAAGCTTAAATGAACCCGATATTATTGCGCAGTGATATAGAGACGCGGGCTCAAATTTCTCAAATATATAAAGAGAACAATCGCAAATATCTTCAAAATAATACTCCTGGGTCAATAATATACGTTTACGTCTGCATGTACATATAACTAACCTAATCCAGCCTGCCCGTTATAAATTACATGTGGCGACAATATTTGGCGAGACAAATCGGCACGTCGACATCGCGATGATTGTTTAATTCACGACGTAACTAATGTAACCGGCTCTGTTGGGATTATCACGTCAAGCCTGACACCTTTACGGCGATAATCCCAAACAATGAAGACGCTCGCAGTATATTAAATTGTGATAATAGAGATTATGACGGCCTACGTGGGCGTATGCCGACGAACAATGGACGTTCAGTCAGACTAGTCTAGCTTAAGAAGTTATTGACTCGAGTCTCATACGGGCTTTGTCTTTGATACGTCCATTGTATCTAATGTGTAATATTTGAGAAAAAAGTTACACAGTGTGAAGAAGCGATAAATAAACGAGTGAACAAATCGAAGGCACGGGGTCAAACTTAAAAATGGAAATGCAAAATTGGCATGGTAAATTCAAAGAAATATTACATATTAATACATTTAAATCTTGATTTAACAAGACATATCAATCAATGCTCATGCTTGAAATGTAAATCGTATGTTTTAATTTTATCAAATTCCTCAAT